TCTCACCGGCCTTCCTCTTAAGAGCTCGCTTTCGCAAATGTGCGGACCTCCACTGACTTACAGCCCCCACTTTCCTCCCTCAATCGCACTCTCACTCTCACTCTGGCTCGATTTCTCCATCTGTGGTTCCAGTAAGCAGGCGTACAAATAAGTGAAGTCAGAGTTAGTAATGGAAGACAGCTGTTGGCGATTGTGAGCTTTCCATTGTGTTTCTCAATATTGCAAAGAATAAAAAAGAAAAAAAAATGCAATATGGGGAGCGAGTGGGACCTCGTCTTGAGTTTACAAACTTCAACTTTTACTTGAAATTTGAAATTCCAATTTCAATTTTCTGCTCATCAGACAAAAGTAGCCCAGATAAAGCAAATCCCTTTTTTTTTTGGTGTATTGTTTCATGTTGAAAAGAAACATTCAGAAAACAACTACATTAAAATAACCGGAAAAAAAACACTTATTTCCAAAACAAGCTTACAATGTTTTTTGTTGAAAATGCTAACATAATGCTAATAATATGAGCCCTCACCGCAAAGTCACTCAGCTAGCTAAGCTAACTAGGCTAACTGCTTGCTACAGAGGGATTGAGAAGATGAGGTCGTTCTTCATTTCTATCCTGATTGTTTGTGAGCTTCCGGCTAAGCTTTTAGCTAAACTGAAAGGTCATAAGCCGTTTGCGAATATCAAGAACGCAGATGCGGTTTCGTAAACTCGGCAAGTACGGTCTTGGTGAGTATCGTCACAAAGAACATATTTCCGACCAAGGCTGGTCTCTTTGGACTTGTGAACTTCTCCCCTAGCTTTGTTAGGTCAGGAACCAAAATGCTAAGGCTATATCTTTTAAATAAAGCTTTTGCTTTTGAATGCTTGGAATGGAACAGTGTTGCTCTGTAGCATGTTGGCTCTGTGGTCGACTTGATGCTGCCATCTTAGACTTTTGATGAAGAAATCTGTCATTTAACGTATTGGAGTTGTGCCCCCCCCCACCCCCCCTGCAAGTGAGCGCTTTGTCGTTCGCGTGCTCGTATTGTCACATGATGATGATATCATTAAAAACAGAACTTGTAAAAGAGACCACAAGGCACTTTTCTTGTTGTTTTATTTGGAGATAAAATCCCTAAGAGGATTTTTTTTTTCTTCTACTTGGAGCCAAGAATTGTTACTGAGAAACGACACACTGCCAAGAGCTCGCGTCACTGAAGGTCAAATCAGCGCTGGAAAGCCTGCTTTCTCTTGCTAAAATGATTACAAATGTACTTTTCACGAGTGCAGAATGCCTTTGTGGGTTAGTTCCATTCTTTTGTGCTCATTTCTATTTCTTTTCATGAATTCCAGGTGGGAGGAGCAACCGAAGTCACACGAAAACGCAGGCGCAAGGTCGATTATTTCGAGTTGTTGTTCTTACTTTTGTTGTGCAAGATGGAGGTTATGAGAAATGGCTACAAGAGGCGCGATCGCCTGAACTGATTTAATTCAGTGAACATTGAAATGCCTCGATTGGAATCCAACCCGTTACCCAAGTATATATTCGTCAAGCGCAAGTCATGGCGGTTTCTTAGAAGGATACTTGTAAACGCAGCGTCATTTAGCCACCAAAAGCCCGTTCTCAGGCTCAGTCAGCAAAAATATTAGCGTCAAAATCGCTGTTTGGCTTGATATGTTTCTCGTTTTCTCTGCTTCTTGGTCAGAAACCGTGAAAGCATCAACCATGTTCAGCTGCTAATTACTTAACAGAATAAGCTAGCAACAAACTTTTTATCCTCTTCAAAGAAGACGGTCTACTCGGGGAAAATGCTCAGCTGCATTCCGATACAGATCCAGGCTAAGTCGCTCCAGCTTGTATATCTGGCAAACCTCCCGCAACGACTTCATTTTCCCGCGAAGCTCAAAGTCTGGCCAAGAGTTCACAATATATCTATCGGCAGAGAGCCGCGCGGCGTGGCAGAGAGGTGCTCCGCATTGAGAGTTATGGGACGGCGGATTGCTTTCCTCTGAGAGAAAAGGCTTCGTTATGTGAGGCGGGCAACGGGCAGATGGGAAACGCTTGCACAGATGTGGCGCACGGTCCATCCGGGTGGCAAGTTGCCGCGTTGAAAGCAGATGAAAAGATGTGTCATCGCTATCCATCTTTGAAGGAACCGTCAAAACATTTGACGTGACTCCGAAATTGTCTGCGTCTAACCAAAATGGCAGAATTCCTCTGTCATTTTGGGCGTCATTTACTGGCACCGTGTCACAAGTGTGGGCCAATTCTGGTCCTAACATACTTTGACAGCTACTGTACAAACGTAATCTAGTAATCAGCAGTAGAAGAAAATCAGCCCAAAATAGCTAAAAAAAAAAAAAATTTGCTAATCGGTAACTTAATATCTAACATGCGGCCCGGTGGGCGAGCGGTTAGCGTGTCGACTTCACAGTACATAGGCCGAGGGTTCGATCCTGGCTCCGGCCTTCCTGTGTGGAGTTTGCATGTTCTCCCTGTGCTTGCGTGGATTTTCTCCGGGTAGTCCGGTTTCTTCCAAAAACATGCATGGGCACACTGAGTGAACACTCTAAATTGTCCGTAGGTGTGAGTGTTTACGCGGATGGTTGTTCATCTATGTGTGCCCTGCGATTGGCTGGCAACCGGTTCAGGGTGTCCCCCGCCTACTGCCCGAAGACGGCTGGGATAGGCTCCAGCTCCCCCTGCGACACCTCTAACAACAGAACAGCGGTTAAACAGCTCAGTCAGCCGTTCGTGGCTGTTCACGTGCCGACTGCCTCGTCTTTCCAAGCTCGTCATTTTTAATTTTTGACACAAATGCACGCTTCAGATTGTCCGACCGAAAACCTGCTGAGTGTGTGTGCCGCTGTGGATAAGCCACCCCACCGCCCCACTGTAAACAGTTGGCAAACAGGTGATTTTCAATCTTAAATGGTGCACCGCTACCACTTAAAGGGCCAACGCATCAGATGCATATATTTTGAAAAACCCTAACTCAACCTTGGCATGGATTGTTGTGATTTCAAAGCCGTTCTTGGAATTTAATGAGTTAACCGCTTGCAAAAAAAAAAAAAGTGTTGCAAAAGCAGATTAGGTCAAATTCAACTCACAAGAGTTGCGCTTCATCCCGACTGGGTTCTTTCGTGTCCAGAGACAAAGGCGTCCTGTGATTACGTCAAGTGGCGAGGAGGAAGCTCCATAATAGGGTCGAGGTGACGGCAGATGGACAGCGCGCAGCACAAATGCTCTCATTCAAGCAGGAAAAAAAAGCTCTTCTTTGTCCAGCCAAGGTCATGATGCGCGCATTTCTCAAAGGCGCCGAGCGCGGCTGACATCATCATTCCGAGCCTTTTATTCATGGCCACTGGGAGCGGACTGTACTGCACTGGACATATTTCGCATTCATCTCTGTTCAGCAGTTGCCCATCTCTTGTCTTTTCGGGAGGTTGGCACGTTGGCCCCGCTGACTGCGCTGCGCAACCCCCGCCAGATCAGCACTTTCTTCCACGTAAATCCCCTTTTACTCCACTGACACATACGCTATCTGCAAAGGCGTGCCGGGGAGAGACTGTGGGAAATCCCGGAGATTGATGTAATCATTCCGAAGAGCAAACAACGGCGCAAAGTGTTGCGCTTTGTTTTTTTTTTTTTTTTTTTTTTTGCTTTTCACTCTCACACGCATACAAACCAACTCTGAAACATTTAAAATTAACCATAGTGCTATTTTGGTGTCAGAGCTTTGTATGCACCCAAAAACCTTCATATTCCTGCAGTCTCTATCCGTACGTCACTAAATTTGATGGACATCTAGCATGCAGGAAGCCCCTCGGCGGAGTCGTCGGTGGTTGTCATGAACATTTTGGACACGCTCAAAAATTTATTTGCAACAAGTCACATCAATCAAGACGTCAAATTACATGTCTTTGGGAGGGCTTTCCAGATTTGTAACTGTGCTGTCAATAACCGTTTAAATGATGAGGTAGTGACAAAAAAAAAAAAAAAAAGCTTTTTTTTTTTTTCTTCCCTGAAGCTATGACCAGTTTCCATTGCTCCAAACCACATGGAGTCCTACCACAAATGAACAGCTCTGATGAGATCTTTTCCTCATGGATAATTACTCTTTCTTCTTGCATAATAGTTTAACGACCAACAAATTTAAATTGCTATGCTCAGAAATGCCACCAATGTCGCCAATCAGAACAAATTGATGACTAATAAAAGAGTGTTTCCATTTCCATGTCGGAAAATGTCCATCCCCACTGCTTCGTCCACACACGAATCAGTATCGGGGAAAAAAAAAAAAAAAAAACATAAATTCCAGCGATACAAGTAAATTCATATCTCAAAATAAAGGACTGCATGAGAACTTTCCCGTTATGCAATTATATGAATTATATTAAACCCTTCCTTTTTTGTTTTTTTTCCCCCCCCCCCCCCCCCCCCAATTTTGCTGCTGTAGACAGCAAATTTTCCCAGTGTGGGACAAATAAAGGTTATCTTATTACTGTGGTAATGTGTTCTTACAGAATGGCTGCATGACCAAAACAATTGATGCTTCAGAATGCTTGACAGGCTCGCATATCAGTACTTTGTATATTCACAACTTTTGATAAATCAACTGAAACATGCCACACATATTAAACAACCCATCAATTAAAATGTTTTTTAACACAATGGCTCTGTCGAAATTAACCAGTCGCTAGTGTAAAAAAAAAAATGTATTCGCAGAAAACCACTTTGAGTCCTACCTCCACTTAAAAGTCTGAATGCATGCTTTGCACATTTGTTATGATGGTGTCAACATGCTCTCATATACCCACCCCCCCCCAAAAAAATAACAGACACGATCGCCATCAAATCAGCACAAAGTCAAAATCTATCACACCTTAATTCAATGAACGACCTTGATGAGAGCTTGCGCGGAGTAACTTTTTTCAACCTGTTCTCATACAAAGGCGCAATGACTCCAAAAAACACCTCAAAAACGTCCCCATGAACACATAACGCCTTGATATTGACGTACCTGCAGATGCCAAGCCGCACGCTGAAAGAAGCAACAAGGCAAAGAAGGCGCATCTTCTGGCCATTGTTCTGAGCTGGCAGCCTCCAATATCGGGACAATATTTGGAAGTGGACGGAAAAGCCTCTTTTTCCGTCTTTCCCCTCGCCGAGAGGCCTGCTTTACAGGAAGTCAGCGCTGCAAACAAAAGAAGAGAAAGTCAAGCACTTTTTTTTGAGTAGGGTGGGGGAAGAGGGGGGCGGACGGGGGGGGGGGGTTTAACGCGGCCCCCGGCAGGAGACGAGGGAAGCGCTAGATTGGTGAGCCGGGGATTAATCCGGGGAGGGGGGCGTTAATTGGGGGTCGCGCACACGCGGAACGTGCCACAAGGTATTAACACACTCTTGCTGAGGAGAGGCTTCAAATGCTCACCTCTGCGACAAGTTGAACACTCTTCTGGTGCACCGTGCAACATTTCACTTTGTGGCAAAATGGTGTTTTGAAATGGAAATCTGCTGGGAGACCGAGATGTGCTTTGTACCTTGTACAGCGGATGAATATGATCAATAATCTGATTTACTGGGTGCAAATACCCAATAACCAGACGCTTTATTATGTATCCACCCATGAAGACAGATTCGGTTGACGAAATCAAAAAGTTTTTGTCCACATTCTTGCTTCGATTCATGGACATTGCGCTGCTCCTTTGGGTGTGCGCGCATTGGCCACCAGGGGGCAGTGTAATACAGACCTATGTAGAGACAATCACAGCTGCTTTTCTTAGTATGCTGAGGTAATACCACTCGTTCTTCGAAGAGGATAAAGTTTGAAGGTTTACCATCGTTTTAAAAAGTCAAGGTCTCAAAAACCACTAACACTGGCTGTCACATTGGGGCGCGGGGGGGAAGGTGGCAACAGACCTGGCGCTATCTGCCGGGCGCTGAACTGCATCGGAAAGCGTCCAAGTGTGGAGGTGCATCAAAGTGTGGAGGCGCGTCGCGGCTGCACAAGCAGTTGCAGGACAAAAGAGGCTTTCAGCGCACGCCAGCTGCAAAGCCTGGGAAGTCGTTTTGGAGGATCATGACAAATATTACACGTTTGGAGCCCCCTTGGTCGTGATTTATGTTCCCACTTGACCCTCATGTCCGGCCCGGTGGAGCTGCTGAGGTTAACCTTTGAGAGCCCAAGTTCAAAGTGCCCTCATCATGGTCAATATTAAATAACAGTAGCATAGTAGGGTGTTCATCCAAAAAAGTACGTCCATATTATTGGAAACTGCTGGGACATTATGCACAGTTTCAACGGTAAAATACGGCGGTAATTAATTAATTAATCAAGTTAAAGAATGAATATCATAGCTATATTAAAAAGTGTAAAGTACTCAAGGACAAAAAGTATTAACTGCTCAGCCCAGTTGAAATCTTTTGCTAACCAGAACAGCAGCACCTACCAAGGCATACAACACACACACAAGCGCCATGGTAACTATTACGCATCAGAGGTGTAAGGGTCGGATTTTTTTTCCCTTTCCCACTCAGATGGAAACCATCGAAGATAGACGTCGTGTGCGGCCGCTGCGGGTTCGCACATTGAGATAGTTACATCGTCATCATCGTGACAGCCTCGATTGCTGAGACATAAAGTGAGACTTAACCAGAAGCAGTCAAAGTTAGTCTCTCAGATGCATTCAAGCGTAGCGTTCTAGGGGACTTGTGGTCGCTCCACAACTGTATGCGTAAAACTTGATGATCCCTTGCAGCTACGTGACCTTTGAATTACACCAAGTCAGCTTTGTCTCTTGAGGTTTTGCTCAATTTCTTTGCTTAAGTTCTTTTGCTTAAGTTGCGTACTTTCAAGCAGACACTGACATGTGGTGCATCCACAACACCGGATCGTCTTTACGATCCAGGGGAGCTTGGCCAATTAGTTAGCCAGGCTGCCTCGACTCTTCTGCAGAATTAAACCTGTTAGCATCTTGCTGTGAGGCGGCGGGATTAACCACTCGCCCACAGCGTCATATTGCCAAAATGTTTCTCGGAAGTTAAGCTGTGTTTTGGGTTCAGAATCTGAAGCAGGACTCCCCGACAACACCATGCGCTTTTGTTGGGGCAACACTCAAATCACCTCATGTGACTCCTCACCGCCCACCTCACAGAGAAGGACAATCCCCCCTGTAATTTTTTTTTTTTTTTTTTTAAAAATCAACTCATTTATTAAATGTAATTGAATTTTCTAAAATAATTAGGAATAGGTACAGATTCTAGGTATCGGTATCAGGCCGATTTACACCGTTTACACCTCAACAAAGAGTGATGAGGCCAAAAAAGGTTTGGGCCAAACATACCTGTTGGAATTTGAGTCAAAAATGTCAACCTCAGCTTCAATGGCCAATAAGACATTTTTCCACATACGTTTGGGAAATTGCTTGGTGATAGAGTAATTCTGCATACAGCCACATTGCCGTTATCAAAGGGTGTGCACATTTGTGTAACCACATTATTACAATTACACTTATAGTAATTCTCCTCAATTGACTTTTACAAGTTATAGGTGCCATTCAGAGTGGGGGGGAAAGGGATCTGAAATGATTCATCTTAGTCTCATCTTACTTCATAGCACGAAAAAAAAAATGAACACGGGTGTGTAGACTTTTTATTTCCACTGTACAGGCTGATGCGCTCTCTAATATAATTTAATGTACTGCACATGATCCACAACTGATGAGCACATGATAATTTGGGTATATGACACACACTTGATGACATACAATCAAGTGACAGCCTAAAGTTCTATCAAAACAATGATTCTCCCTTTGATTGATTTGAATTAGTTTAATTTGTGTTTATTATAGTGAAGTTATTTTTCATACAAGGATGGGTGTATATATAGCCTTTATTTGATTTTTAGCGTGTTATATTGGGGTGAGAATTACACACTAATTTATTCTCATCATGTTGGGTGAGTGTAGAAAATTGGCCAGTGACTTTAACAAAGAATGTTGGGGTCCCCCAGATGGAAGATGCGATGGAAATGATTAATTAAGTTTAATAATGTCGTTATATCAAATGCTGTGCCATTTTTACACGTGTGCTCATCAGTAAACACATTCTGTATCATAATTGTTCAACCAAAAAGGATGCAGATGTTGCCAACACATAAGCTGTCAAGCACACTCATGTAACTAACTCCATTAAAATACATGCAGGCGTAAAATAAACTCCTTTTCGACATTTCTTCACGTTTTTTTTTCCGTTCCTTTCCCATTTAATGTTAAAGCGCTCACATATTGGTCGAATAAACACACAAACAAGCTACACGGTGGACATTTTGACAGAACAGCGGCGCGTACCTCCAGTCAACGAAGTACAACGTCCGGGAAAAGTGCTCCGAAGGCGGCAAACAAGAGCTTCTGCTTCCCCGGGGCACGACGGTCCCTACTTGGCCGAGAAGGGAGCGACTTCAGCGGGGTGCGGGAGAGAGTTCCGCGAAAAGCGGTGGGGGGGGAGAAACAAAAAAGCTCAAGGGTCCTCCTTCGCTGCGGAGTTTTCCACACTTTTCTGCTGACTTTCCAGCAACACGGATGGGCTTATCTGAAGGGGGCGCGGTTTTGGGAGGGGGGGTCCCCATCATAAGGGGCGGTCGCTGGCGACGTCACAGCGCAACACAAATTCGAGCTCGCTGTTGAGTCAACTCAAGTGATTTGTAAAATTAGTGCTTACCGTAACAAGGCATAAGAGGATTCAAATTCCAACAAATGAATGAGATACAATTTCAAAATACACCGCACGAATAGAAAAAAAGGTATTTTCTGGAATCAAACTGTATTTTTTTTCCTCGATAAAATTATTTATTTCATGACAATGAGAAGATTTTTGCGTGAACTTACAATTTGAATTACAATTTTTTTTTTTTTGAAAAAAGGATTTTTCAAGATACAAGTTTTTCTACATGAGTTATACCCTTTAAGGTAAAAGTTACAAAAAGATTTTTCAAAAAAAATGACTAATCATGTGAGGAAAAAGTAACCTTTACCGAGCATAAAATTTGAATTTTTCTAAGAATATTTATTGATGGCATAGACATAATTTTCTGGAGTAATGTTGTACTACTTCAATGTAAAGCTTCACTTTCGAGAAAAAAAGTTTCAATGCGATGAAATAAAGTTACGTTTTTCTATCACAAAATTGTGCTTGACTTAAAAAAAAATCAATCATATGAGAACAAAGTATTTTTTTCTGATGCAGTATTTTTTTTAGACATTTTTAGATCAAAGATTTTTTTTGAAAAAAAAAAGTAATCTTAAGAATAAGATAATTTTTCTTTTTTGGTCTGAAGTCGTGACATCATTTTATGACAACAAAGGCATATTTTTCAAGAACAACATTGCATTTATTCAAGATGAAAAATAGGATAATTTTTTTTTTTTGAGAAAGTCATACTTGTGAACAAAAGTGCATTATTCCAGAATAAACCGCCATTACTGTATTTTAAGAATGCCCCTCACCTCCCCTTCTGTACGGGTGTACTGAACTGTTTTTGCTCTCTGCTGCAGAACAAATTGCCCTCCAGGGACAACTGGAGAAATAAATGTGAAGATGGGCGTAGAAGATGGGCGATGCTAAATTTGAAAGGTTTTGAGTTTTCGTCATTGTGCGGAGGTGGAGCATGACGGCAAAGTTTTACAGTTTGGATTGAAACAGCCATTTTAGGATCATTTGGGTCATTTCTAAAGGTTCGATTACTAGCTAGGCAGGGGTGTAACATTTGATCCTCGACACTCACTTCTCCAACCCTGCTGTGTTGAAAGCAATGGTCACGGTCAACATGCAACTGTATTAATTCATTCCCAACTGTACAGTCTCCTCATTTTGTTACATTTCTCTTGGCTACACTGCTTCCAGTAGATTATTTTATCCAGTCAAATTTCAGGCTCGACAGTATGTGTTGCCATGTCCTTGAAATCTGCCCAGGGCCTTGAGAGTCAGTATTGCTGGCCAAGTAACTTCAGCAACGGTGCTGTTTGCTTGACCGGCTTGTAATTTGTTCCGTCTGTTCCATTTGCGGTCAACCACACACGTTAGCATCTCCGCTGCATATTATATATATTTTTTCATACTGTTAGCTACATGTTGATCGCGAATTGCTCCACACGGTGTATGTTGCACAGTTGCGTGTTGTTCCATTGCGTTTTTGGATCGTCATGATGTTTGCGATGTGATATCGGTGGTATTAAAAGGTTGATTAAGTCGGGAAAGCAGTCAGGCATCAAATGCATAACCTGCCACTGCCTTTTTTTTTTTAATGCCTAACATGCAAAAGACTGTCATCAAAATGTCACGCGTGTCGAAAACGAGGCTTTTCAACAGGGAAGCAAACAGACTTTGTGATTTTCGACAGCGTTTGCTGATCTTCGTGGTTCAGTTTGCAAAGGACCAAGAGAAAGAAGAAGAATCTTTTGAGATGACATCAAACGACAAACGCCTGATCATCCGTCACTCGCCTTTGGTCATTTCCATACGTACGCTTCGGGCTGTGATGTGAAATTGTCATCGACATGGCGCTTTCATTCCTGCGCCAAATCACAAGAGCGAAACCGTGCTCCGAGTGATCCCTTCGTGTGAAACGGCAGATTCCCGCTGAAAGGGAACACGGCTAATGTCACGCAAGATGTGATGTGCCGCTAACGAGACAAGAGGGAAGGAAACTTTTGTTGTGGAGAACACACAAACACATTAAAAAAAAGAAGGAACAGACGAAGGAATGCTGACGCTGACAAGGAAGCGCTCAAAAGGGATCAAATTATCTTCCGTGCCATCCATATGCATGTCGGACTTAAAGTGTGTTTATTTACACCGCGTCGGGGTGGGGAGATGAAAGCGCGTCAGAGGCGCTTCACGTTTCATTAAGCGAGGCTTTGGAGTTTAGATTCCTTCCAGTGGATGGCGCTGCCTGTCAAAGCCAACTCAGCTCTGTCACGACTACACCTCATCAGAGCAGATTATTATTCATCAGAGCCAGTCATTATTTTTAGGCCAATTATGTCACCTTTTTGAGGGCTCTCAAATGCACACCATAATTTTCCATGGGTAAGTTGTACAATTTATTCAATAAGAATAAGAATAACAATAAGAAACCCTTTATTTGTCTCACAATGGAGAAATTCCCAATTTACAGCAGCAACGTTATGAAAGGAAGAAAGTAGAAGAACAATAGTGCCCATCATAATTATGATTTCTTTAAATTCAGTCCCCAAAGCCATTTTCATTTAGCAACACGAAATTTAGTGGGCGTGTCCATTGTGAGTAGACCCACAAAAAGTGTGAAGAAGTCAAACCTGAAAAAAAAAACAGGAAGTCTGACATATTGGTTTGCAGCAGCGGGGTTACGGGTAAACTGACCAGGGTCTTGGGGTCTTTTGAATTTTGGGGAAAATTCAGCCGGTCTCACTTCGCAATCTAAAATTTGGTAGACATGTCTTCTGTGTGTAGATCCACAAAAAAGTATTAAGAAGCCATACTGGAAAAGATATGGGAAATCTGGCAAGTTGGTTTGAAGCAGGCATTTTAGGCTCATTGTGGACTAGGTTTATTTTTTTGCAAATGGCTCAAAAAGACAATAAAAGGGTTGCATTTTGAGCCATTTCCAGGAGACCTGAAAAGGTGACATCTTTGCGATCTTGAACAACGGCGCCGAAATTTGAACCATGTAGTGTACTAGACAGCTAGATCATGGCAATACTTTTTACTCAGTCGGACACAGGTCATTGCATGTTAGCGTCATGTGCCAGAAGAATTGATGCTTCGCAGCCGCAAAAATCAGCTTCCCTTATCAAAATAAAATGTGGTAAGCATGTTCCTCATGAATAGACCCATAAAAATGTTTCAAGAAGCCACAGATGAAAAGATAGTGGTTTGACCTTTTCCAAAAATCCTTCAAAGATGATCTCCTCTTCCAGATTCTGTCCAATTGCTACCAAATTTGAGCCACATACCAGACAGATGACACTGAAATGGCCAACAATTTGAGATTTTTGAATCGCGTGTGGGCAGAGGATGGTGGCAAAGGTTGATGATTGGCCATAAAACCCCAAACTCTAATAAGTCACCTCCACAAGACCAGAGCTTGTCTCCGGCGGGCCTCTGGCATGGTCTCAGTAGCCTTGAAAGGGACTCAGACAGCATCTCCCTCAAAGTTACTGTCAGTAGCAAGAAAAGATGAGCTGACTTTCATTGTTGTAAAAGTCCCCCGTAGGCGTTTCCTGCCTCAAATCAAAAGCGGCGCCGTATTCAAAGTCGGACTTCCTTTTTCAAAGTGTTTAAAAAGCAAAAGCGCATGCCGATGGAATACCTCAGACAGTTTTGTAAGGCTCCTTCTGCTTCATTTTGCTTCCTAACTGCAGATCAGACACATAAACACGCTTGAGTCAAAGTCATCCAGCCTGTCAATAAATTTGCACCAAGATCTTCATGCCACATTTCTTGCTTGAATTCAATATAAAGTATGCTGCTCCTTGGCATGTGGTGTGTGCGCACGTGTGTGTGTGTGTGTGTGTTTGTGTGTGTGTGTGCGTTCCCCTGCTAGTTGTGTTCAAATACCCGTTGCTTGAAAGGCTGGAACACTGGGAGACCAATGCTATTCGTTAGCCCAATGATAGTATTTGTTTTTTTATCATTACGCTGAGTGGAATTCATTCAGGAAAAGCTACTGCTCGTGGTTGTTGTAAATATGCAACGTGTAATTGTCTTTGTTTGACATTTACTTTGAGAGTAAACTTCCACTGCTCCTTGGCATGTGGTGTGTGCGCACGTGTGTGTTTGTGTGTGTTGCCCTGCTGATTGTGTTCAAATATCCGTTGCTTGAAAGGTTGGAACACTGGGAGACCAATGCTATTTGTTAGCCCAATGATAGTATTTGTTTTCTAGCATTAGGCTGAGTGGAATTAATTAAGGAAAAGCTACTGCTCGTGGTTGTTTTAAATATGCAACGTATAATTGTCTTTGTTTGACATTTACTTTGAGAGTGAACTTCCAACTGGTTGGGGCAATAAACAGCTTGAAGCCTAATTTTTTTTTTAAAGGAATTATTCACCGTCTTTTAAATTATTGCTTTTTGTGAAGTGAGATGAGTTCTCTGCTCCCCCCTCCTTTCACTCGTTATTCATGATGACCTCCACCTTGCACAATAGAAATAAGCACAATTACTTGTAATCATTCGCAAATTGAATAAATGCTAAATCAGTCAAATGTTAAATATTTAATATAATCAATATGGTACAACAATTGCGGGTTAACAGTGACTCGCGAGCCAATTCTTCAGTAGGAGTGGAAGGTCTGTATGGTAAAGAACTGCTCATCTATAGCACCCTCTAGTGGCGTCTACGTGCTAACACTACCTGACTGGAGCCTCAATTCTACAACATGACAGTTGAGTAGAACCTTTTACAAGTTGCCGCCCTCCCTCATCGAGTTTGATTGAGCTGAAATATCACACAAAAATCCACCTCATCTACAATTAAAAAAAAACAAAAAAAAAATATTTGAGCAATTTTGTCAGATGGGGTCGCTGCTATCAAGCTCCCAAATTACAACTTTTTAAACAGGCTGAGTA